TTAGGCGCAGGCATTGCTTATACTGAAGATAATATTAATTTTATCTCAGATTTCTGGAATCTAGGCTCTGAATGTGAAGTCTTTGATGCTGAACTATTTGCAATAGTGAAAGCTTTCAAACTCATTGAAATAAAATCTCATAAAAGAGGAAATTGTTTGAAAGAGGCATGGATATTCTCTGATAGTCAAGCTGCTTTAAAAAGACTTAGAAATAGTCAGATTCATAATGATCAAATGAATCTTGAACTGATCTTAAACTCTGTTTTGAAAATTCAAAAGAGAAGAACATCAAAGCTGATAATTCATCTGCACTGAGTTCCTGCTCACATGAATATTCATGGTAATGAATTGGCTGATTCAGCTGCAAAAAAGGGTGCAGAATTAAGCAGATCTATTCAAAAAATTGTGTCCTGGTCTTTTATAAAGAGAAAAATAAAAGAATCTTGTTTAGACAAGTGGAATGAAAGCTGGCAGAAACAAAAGAAGAGTATACATTATTCAAGATTTGAAACAAAACCCAAGTGGAAATCTTGTTCAATTAAATGTAAAAAGAAAATATTCTCATCTATAATACAGCTGAAACTAGGACATGGCTATTTCAAATCTTATATACAAAGATTTGATGATAGATTTGACTCAATAGAATGCTCATTCTGCAATACAAATGAGAATTCTGAGCATATTGTAATGCACTGTGCATTATACAATAGTCTCAGAGTCAGATTGAAAGAGAAGTATGATCTAAATCAATTAAATATGAGATTCTTATTCTCAACTGAGACAGGAATTAAATACTTAATAGACTTTCTATCAGAAACTCAAGCAGCTATAAGAAAATGGCTAAATTCAGAATTATCTGAGTATGAAGAGGAGGAAATTAATCAGATATAGTCTGTTAAAACAGCTATACACTCTCTTTTAATAATTTGTTTTGTTATAGTCTCTCTTTACTTTATCTTTTTCTTTATCTTTTTCTTTCAATTTCTTCCTATCTATTTATTTAATGTGTCTATCTTTGAGACTGTGTTCTTTTTCTCTTTTCTTTTGTCATGATATTGTCAAATGGTTTCAAAGTATCAAAAGATGTTAAAACACTGTAATTTGTAAACAGTTTTTGTATTCTGGGCTGGAATTTTCTGATTTTGCATATCTGAAATTGATGAATGTATAATAGTTAACTTTACAGACATAGAAAAAACCCTGAGAACTAAAGTTCTCAGATAGATGTCATAGTCTCTGACTGCATACATCTATAATTGAAGAATAATAATAATAATAATAAAGACTCTATTATCTTTCTTGAAACTCTTTACAATGTGCTTAAAGTCATAGTATCTCTTCTGATACTCTTGAATCTTTCTCAAGAATTTACAGGCTTTCTCTCAAATCTTCTGAATTCTCTCAGCCTGTTCACAGACATCATCACACTCTATAGTGTACTCTCATGAGTTTATCAAGATTATTCATGAATAAGTCTCAGTGAGTATCTCAAAGAGAGTTTTATCTGTGCTAATATACTTTGAGTTATTATATGTGAACTCTGTGAGTGATAATTAATGCATTCAGTTATTCTGATTGTAATTGACAAAGTACTGTAGATACTGTTTCAATATACTTATCAGATATTCTGTCTGATCATCTGTCTGTTGATGAAAAGCTGTGCTTAGATCTTGTGAGATCTTCAGTATAGTTATCAGATCAGATTAGAACTCTTCTATGAAGATTGATTCTCTATCTGAGATAATGTTCACAGACAACTCATGCAATCAGATCACATTATAAATGAAGATGTGAGTCAAATTCTTTAACTTCAAAGTTCTTGTAAGTGAGTATAAAGTGTGTTATCTTGATGAAGTAATTCACTATCACCAGCACACTGTCAAAGCAGACATCATATATGTTCTTACTTTCAGAGAGGCTTATAAGAGTATTCATTTCTAGCTGTTCTCAAGGTTTCTGCAGAATGAGTAGAGAAGTAAGTTCTTCATATAATCTGAATCATACTACTCATAAACTCTGATAAACAGCACAAGAATTCATTATCTTCTTCACAAGTTCTCACATCTTCAGTCAGAAGTATTTTCTTATAAGCAACTCATGAGTTCTAGTATCTATAAAATAACCTGCTAGAGAAGAGTCATGATGTCTTTTAATGAGTTCTATACATAGAAAATTATTCATAAGCACATAAATTCAGCTCTCTTTTTACAAGAGGTCATTTAAGTCACTTCAATTCTTTATTTCTACAGGATTGATTCCTGCTATGAGCAGTTTCTGAATATGCTGAGTATATTCATTCTTCAGTTGCAGTTCAGACAATCTGAATAGAAGATCTTACAAAGACTTATACTCTGTTTTCTCTTGTATCAGGTCTTTCACAGTGCTTCTCAAAGCTTACAAACTCTTCAGATTATAGATACTCTCTTCAAGAATTCTTGCAGAGATTCTCAGAGTGTTAACTCTCAGTGTTATGAAAAGTAGTTGTGCAGACTTCTTCTCTCTCTTCCTTCTCTTCTCTTACAGAGAATTGAGAGACTCTTCAGTCAATCTCTTCACAACACTCAGTCTGAGTATTCTGTGAAGCTTTTCTATCTTCTCTAGTCTCTCTGTGTCTGTTACTCTGATCTTCTTAACATAGTCTGATCTGTGAGAGAGTCTGTCTGCTGAGTTCTTAGTTTTCTTAATATGTTCTATCTTAAACCAGAACTCACTCAGTCTCTGAGCTCAGTGAATCTGTCACTAGACTGACTGTGTAACTGTGTCTGAGATCAGGATCAAACTTTACAGTTGTCACATTGTCTAAAAGCATTACTTCTGGTCATGGTTTGTGTTCATCACATTGATTTCAAATCATATTATTTCAAATATTAAAGATTTCAGATTCACTTTTCAAATAAAAATCTAGTTCTGAATAAAGAATATGTTTGAATTCTTAGTCACATTTTCATTCTGATCTCATTATTGAGAATAGTATTAAATGAGATCATGAAATCACTTCTCACTTATATAATATTATAACATAGTGCTCATTTGTTGAAAATTCAATAGAGAGTATTATTAAATATTATTACTTTTCTGAATACAGATCATAATTCATATAATTTTAATTATGAAAAAAACATAAAATATAAAAAAAAACAAAAAACAAAAAACAAAACAAACACAAGAAAAAATCACAATAAAAAAAAATAAAAGAAAAAGAAAAAAATAAAAAATAAAAACAAAAAAAAATCAAGATTGCAGAACTACAGCACTTTCAAAATACTTACTTCTCAGAGTCTTTGCAATGTTCATTATCAACTGTGTATCTCTCACAGTGAGAGTAACACAGCTGTGATGAGTCATTATCTTAATATCATCTAATAAATAATCAGTATATATCTGTATAAATGTGAATAATTAGAAAATATACACTTAAAAAGTGTGATCAGAGTGAACTCTGCTGTCACTTAAATAATATCAAGAACAGAACACTGAAATCAATGATTTCTCTCATCAATTTCATAGACAAGGTGTACAAAGATCATCTTGAGAAATATAAGATCTCTCAACTTCTGATAAAAACAGATCTCACAGAGAGACTCTATTTTCATAATATCAGAGACTGAGTGAGTGTTATTAAAAAGTGTTACTTTCATGCAATGCATATACACTTACTGCAGCAATTCACTCTCTGCATATATAACTGAGAGTTACAGCTTTCTCACACTGCACAGCTCTCTCTGAGATGCTGCTGTCAGTTTGTAACTCACACAGTCTCTCAGTTCAGCATGCACTGTATGTATACAGCTCTATGTACTGAGACTGTGTTGATCATTATAATCTGACGTGATACTTGCTTTTCATGAGTCATGTTTCATTTGAGAGAGAGAGGGAAGACATGACTGTTGTTTTATTGAGAAGAGAATGAATAATTAGTATTATTGAATTAATTTAATTCATCTGCATTTAAAATTTGATTAGTTTATACTCTTCAATTTAAGAGTTTCTATAAGTGTTTTAATAGTTTTCATACCAGCTTGAACTTAGTGATGAGTTGAAGAAGAAGAGAAAAGAGAGAAGAAAGAAATGAGAATAACTTATCTTTATAATATGAAAACAGAGAATCACTGCAATCATTCTCTCTAGTAACAAAGATCTGTTTTCTGCATGTATCTCTGATATAGATTATATGATAAATGCATACAAAGAATATCAATAGTGCATGTATTAAATGAAGATAATATTACTATGCAATACTGTAGCTGTTTCTGTACATTTCTGAAAGCTGTTAATAGTTTCTTTATCTCTTTATATTTGATAAGTCAATAATATATTCTGATGCACTCTCTCTTTCATCATTATTATCATCATTATCATCATCATCATCATCATCATCATTATTATTATTATCATCATCATCATCATCATCATCATTATTATTATATTATTGCCTGTCTTCACCTCTCTCTTAATACTTATTAAAATCAATTATATCATCTCTCTTCAAATATTCTGCGGTCCTGCGGACCACCAAGGCGCGTGAGCGCTGTCACAGATTGAAGAAAGAGAAGAAGAAGGTATTCAAGCATGAGAAGACAGATTACAAGACATGTTATAATACCTTGAAGAGGCTCTGTAAGAGAGTAGAATGATAATGATTTTAAGTAACACTTCTGATAGATTTAGACTGAACTAAGTATAGAAATAATGTGAATGATGCTGCTTGTGAGAGATTGAAAAAGAAGACAGTGAAGAGTCTCATACAGCAGCAGTGAGATCAGAAGAAGTTCTGAGAATGATTTGAGACTAAGATAAAGAGAGAGAGAGAGAAGAAGAGTATTACTGTAAATAAGCAGTGATAGAAGAAGATTGAGAAGGTATTGAAGTAAGAGACAAAGAAGTCAAAACTGATAAGTTTTTTATTGAGAGATAATGATTTTTGATAATACTTCTGTTCTCTAATTGATTAGCAGGAGCTGATAGAGAAGGAGGGAATTGAGGTCTTGTTCAGGTCTCAAATGCACTTCATGATTCAGAATATTGAGAAGACAGTTCTACTCTCTGAGCATGTCAATCTGCTTACTGCTGAGATGGAACCTGAGACAGCAGATCAGGAAATGCGGGATTTTGAGATGCAGATTGATCTGGCTGAGAGAAAGCAGCAGAAACTCTTCTCTGAGAAGATAGTGAAGAAAGATTTTGAGATGATTATCATCTCAGATGTGAAGAAGAAGAAGAAGAAGAAGAAGAAGAAGAATGAGAAGTGAATTATAGAGAATGATAAGAAGAATGAGAAAGAGAAGAAGTAGATTTTTTTCTTTTTATATTAGTTAGTTGTAAGTTTAAGTTTTTAATTATTAATAATTAAAATTGATTTTGAGTTTTCAAAAATTATTGTACAAGTTGTAATCAAGTCAGGAATGATATATATATATATATATATTTAACTATCATGATTCACAAATCACTATAATGTATAAGTATCAACATTTTTTCAACATTAATATTCATAATATTAATATATTTTTAATAATATTATCTGATAACACAATTTGATAACACTCTCTTTCACAATATTAATATATTTCAAGAAATATAACAGAGATTAATTAAGATTGTTTATTTACTTTTATACATCAATAATATTCAATCTGAGTTAGTACTAAAATTATAACTAAGCTAAGAAACAAGATTATTTTCTCTTATATTAATTCTTCTTACACACATCAGTGATCAGTTATTGAAAATAAATTATCATCTTTCTCAAATTATTATCATGTCTTCTGAATTCATTTCTTTCACTTCTTTTACTTCTATTGAAGATTCACAAACTCTTTAAGAAATCACTGTGAATTACAAAGTCTACATTGTTTACAATTCAATACAGAATACTCTCTTTCAATCACAATAAATGATCACTTCATTCTTCACATCTGATTTCAGGTCACAAAATTTATGAAAAACTCAACACAAATATCAAGATAAACTATGAAATAATTATCAACAGGTTGCATTGCAGATTACTGAAGAGTCATCTCTTTGCTGCAATCACTGTAACTTTATTCAGAAACATTCATTATAAACTGATTATAACTCTGAAGAAATTTCTCAACATCTGAAGTCATCAGAATGCAGACAATAAAAGAAAAATAATTAGAAAATTACTACTGAGTTGATAAGTTACTCTATCAGATAATGATTTTTGATAATACTAACTTTCTAATTTCAAGAAAATCATGTGAAAATGACTCTGTATCAGTACTCTGATTTCACAACTCTCATCTGATAACTTTCATGAATAATTACTTCACATGTGTATATCTCTGAATCTTTCTCTTTAATCAATTGAAAATCCTGAATTCTGAATACTTCTTCAAATGCTTAATTCAAATCTTTATATTTCATATCAATTCTGTCTTCAGTTCAATCTTGAGATACACTACAAAGTTAATATGCAACATCTAGAATCAGAGTTGAAGAATCATTGAAGAGTATCTCTCACAGTGAATGTATGAACTAGTATAAACAATCTTGTATTTATGAGAGTTACATATTATTATATTGATGAGAACTGAACTTATTAAGAGACATTAATTGAATTTAAATCATTGATCAGTAGTCATACTAAGAATTATATAACAGAGATATTAATGACTGTGATTAAAAATAACTATTGAGATATTAGTCTCAGTCTTCTTACAATTACAACTGACAATGCTGTGAATAACTACACTATGATGAAGAGCTTGAAGTAAAAATTGGCTTTGCATTTCTGAAATGATAAACAAGGTCATATCTCCTGCATTACTCATATGGTTTAACTTGTGATGTAAACACTGATAAAGAATCTTAACATTGAGATGAAGAATAATGAGATGACTAGACTGGCCGCCGGGACCATGAATTTCACATTTGATTTCATTTGGTCTGATCTCATACATTTCTTGGCGTGAGTCCCACCAGAACCAAGCCTCAAAAAAATCTGAAAATGGACCATTTCTGAGAGAAATGGCGTGAAAAATGACCAGATTTAATTCAAGAACAGTGAAATGAGAGTAATTTTCCAGGATAAACTGTGAAAGATGATCATTCTTTCAAAATCAAAATGAGACTGAGACTGAAGATCAAAATCAGTCTCATTCAGTTCATTCAGTGATTGCTTATATAATCAGAATTTGATAATGATTATTGATAATGCTCATGAAACAACTAAATACATTCTTGTGCAAGTTTATTCTTCACTTTCTCATGAAAACTACACTTCTCTGATATACTGTGATCAGAGGTATTAAACTGTCTGATAATTCTATGTTTTATAATTATGAGTTTCTTGATTGTTTCTCCTTGTAATTGTTCTCAGTGATAGTGATAAATATCTCAACTTGAGTTGAACTTTTGCTTCATTCTCACCTCTGTCAATGAAATTGTCAGAATATCATGTGCTATCAGTGCAACAGTTGAATATATACTCTCAACAATTTTTCATAACTCTAGAATTGATTTGATGTGTAAATTCATTGAATTATCTTGAAGATAGCAGTTAAATTCAGTTTTACAAGCATGTAGTTTTGCCTGATTTTCAGTTGCAATCAATGTATACAAGTTCTGTTTCAAAGTTAGTATTATAGTTCTATATAATATGAAGCATTATCAAAGATTATTACTTACTAGAGAATTGTATTTCACTGTCTTCATATCTTGAACATCTGCTCATTCAAATCTCTGATAGTTGGCATTGTAGTAGTCTCAGACTAATTTGACATATGAGTCTTATTCCTCCTCTGTTCAATCTTGAGAAGTGTAGATATTAACTTGATGAGAGAGATCTAGTAGAGCTGCTACAGCATAGTACTCTGCAAAAGATTGTTCTGTTTTGCTGTAGTAATATACCAGTTTATCTCTTACAGTAATAATAGCCTGCACTATAGCATCATCTCAGACTGAATTTCTTTTTGAGTGATTCAACTGCTTCTTAAGATGAGTAAATAAACTGTTATACACTTATCAGACTGACTGCAGCATTAATGTATAAGTGATTGAGACTGTCTTTGTTATCTTATAAAACTGAAACAGTAAATCAATCACATATTTCAACTGAGTTCACTTCATATCAGAAAGTTTTAATATCTGAATCTTTTTCTGATCAGAGTGTTGCACTCAATGATTAATTATCTGATGCAATTGAAGAGTCTGAACAGTTATCTCATATATTAAACTTCACTGTGTTCTAACATTCTGTATCATATTCAGTGATATGACTGATTTGTTTGTTTATTGAATATCATGGAATTATTATTGTTGTTTAGAAGAGATACAAATCATATTAGCAATGTTTTGAATCTATAATATTTAAATTATTAGTCAATCTATTCAAAATTAACAGTAGTGTTATCAAAAAGTGTTATTAAAAAGCAATATTAAAAAGTGTTATCAAAAAACATTATCTTTTGCAAAGTGAATACAAAAGTTACTTAAGTAATCACTTTCATCTCATTCTCATCTCAAGAATCAGTTATCTCATTATTCTTTGTCTTGATGTTAAGATTCTTTATCAGTGTTTGTATCACAAGTTGAACCACATGAGTAATACAGGGGATATGATCTTGTTTATCATTTCAGAAATGCAAAGCCAATTTTTGCTTCAAGCTCTTCATCATAGTGTAGTTATTCATAGCATTGTCAGTTGTAATTGTAAGAAGACTGAGACTAATATCTCAATAGTTATTTTTAATCACAGTCATTAATACCTCTGTCATATAATTCTCAGTATGACTACTGATCAATGATTCAAATTCAATTAATATCTCTCAATAAGTTCAGTTCTCATCAATGTAATAACATGTAACTCTTATAAATACAAGATTGTTTGTACTAGTTCATGCATTCACTGTGAGAGACACTCTTTGATGATTCTTCAACTCTGATTCTAGATGTTGCATATTGATTTTGTAGTATGTCTCAAGGTTGAACTGAAGACAGAATTGATGTGAAATATGAAGATTTGAATTAAGCATTTGAAGAAGTGTTCAGAATTCAGGGTTTTCAATTAATTGAAGAGAAAGATTCAGAGATATACACATGCAAAGTAATTGTTCACAGAAGTTATCAGATGAGAGTTGTGAAATCAGAGTACTGATACAGAGTTGTTTTCACATGATTTTCTTCAAATTAGAGAGTTAGTGTTATCAAAAATTATTATCTGATAGAGCAACTTATCAGCTCAGTAGTAATTTTCTGATTATTTTTCTTTTGTTATCTGCATTCTGATAACTTCAGATGTCAGAAAATTTCTTCAGAGCTATGATCAGTTTATAATGAATGTTTCTGAATGAAGTTGCAGTGATTGCAGCAGAGAGATGACTCTTCAGTAATCTGCAATGCAATCTGTTGATAATTATTTCATAGTTCATCTCAATGTTTGTGTTGAGTTTTCCATAAATTTCATGATCTGAAATCAGATGTAAAGAATGAAGTGATTATTCATCATAATTGAAAGAGAGCATTCTGTGTTGAATTGTAAACAATATAGACTTTATGATTCACAGTGATTTCTTGAAGAGTTTGTGAATCTTCAATAGAAGTAAAAGAAGTGAATTCAGAAGATATGATAATAATTTAAGAAAGATGATAATTTATTTTCAATAACTGATCACTGATGTGTGTAAGAAGAATTAATATAAGAGAAAATAATCTTGTTTCTTAGCTTAGTTATAATTTTAGTACTAACTCAGATTGAATATTATTAATATATAAAAGTAAATAAACAATCTTGATTAATCTCTGTCATATTTCTTGAAATATATTAATATTGTGAAAGAGAGTGTTACTAAATTGTGTTATCAGATAATATCATTAAAAATATATTAATATTGTGAATATCAATGTTGAAAAAATGTTGATACTTATACATTATAGTGATTTGTGAATCATGATAGTTAAATATATATATATATATATATATTGTTCCTGACTTGATTACAACTTGTACAATAATTTTTAAAAACTCAAAATTAATTTCAATTATTAATAATTATGAACTTACAACTAAACTAACTAATATAAAAAGAAAAAAACTTTTTCTACTTATCATCTTTCTTCTCTTTCTCATTCTTCTTATCATTCTTCACAATTCACTTCTCATTCTTCTTCTCCTTCTTCTTCTTCTCATCTGAGATGATAATCATCTCAAAATCTCTCTCTACTGCCTTCTCAGAGAAGGGTTTTCACTGCTCTCTCTCAGTCAGGTCAATCTGCATCTCAAAATCCTGCATTTCCTGATCTACTGTCTCGGGTTCCACCTCAGCAGTAAGCAGATTGACATACTCAGAGAGTAGAGCTGTCTTCTCAATATTCTGAATTATGAAGCACATTTGAGATCTGAACAAGGCCTTAATTTCCTTCTTCTCTGCCAGCTCCTGCTAATCAATTAGAGAACAGAAGTATTATCAAAAATCATTATTTCTTAATAAATAAAAAATTTATCAGTTTTGACTTCTTTATCTTCTGCTTTAACACTCTCTCAATCTTCTTCTATCACTGCTTATTTATAGTAATACTCTTCTTCTCTCTCTCTCTCTTCATCTTAGTCTTAAATCATTCTTGAGACTTCTTCTGATCTTATCACTGCTGTATGAGACTCTTCACTGTCTTCTTCTTTAATCTCTCACAGGCAGTGTCATCTGCATTATTTCTATACTTAGTTCAGTCTAAATCTATCAGAAGTGTTACTTAAAATCATTATTATTCTACTCTCTTACAGAGTCTCTTCAAGGCATTATAACATGTCTTGTGATCTGTCTTCTCTTACTTGAACATCTTCTTCTTCTCTCTCTTCAATCTGTGATAGTGCTCACACACCTTGATGATCCGCAGAACTGAATAATATTTGAAGAGAGATAACATGATTAATTTCAGTGAGTATGAAGAGAGATGAAGACAGAAGAGACGGCCAGAAATAATATGATAATGATAATGATGATAATGATAATAATGATGATGATGAGAATAATAATGATGATGATGATAGTGATGATAATGATAATGATGATGATGATAATAATGATGATAATAATGATAATGATGAAAGAAGAAGTGTATTAAAATATATTACTGACTTACTAAATATAAAGAGACTTAAAGAAAATATTAACAGCTTTCAGCAATGTACAGAAACAGCTACAGTGTTACATAGCAACATCATCTTCATTCAATACATGCACTGTTGATATTCTTTGTATACAGTTATCATATAATCTGTATCAGAAATACATGCAGAAAACAGATCTTTATTGCTAGAATAAATGATTGCAGTAATTCTCTGTTTTCATATTATAAAGATAAGTTATTCTCATTTCTTTCTTCTCTCTTTTCTCTTCTTCAATCAATCACTAATTTCAAGCTGATATGAAAACTATTAAAACACTCTCAGAAACTCTCAAATTGAAGAGTATAGACTAATTAAATTTCAAATGCAGAAGAAATTAAATTATCTTCTACAGATTCAATTACTCACTCTCTCTCAAATAAAACAGCAGTCATGTCCCTCCCCCCCTCTCAATCAAACAAAACATGGCCTGTGAAAAGTGAGTATCACGCCAGGCCATAATGACCAACACAGCCCCAGTACGCAGGGCTGTATATGCGCAGTGTGTGCTGAACTGAGAGGCTGTGTGAGTTGCAAACCAGCGGCAGCATCCCAGAAAGAGTCATGTGATGTGGAAAAGCTGCAACTCTCAGTCATTTGTGCAGAGAATGAATTGCTGCAGTAAGTGCATGTGCATTGAAGTAATGCTTTTTAATAACACTCAGTCTCTGATATGATGAAAATAGAGTCTCTCTATAAGATCTGTTTCTATCAGAAGTCAGAAGATCTTATATTTCTCAAGATCATCTTCACACATCTTGTTCATGAAATCAATGAGAGAAATCATCAATTTCAGTGTTCTATTCTTGATATTATTTAAGTAGCAGCAGAGTTCACCCTGGCCATACTTTTTAAGTGTATGTTTTTTAATTATTCACATTTATATAGATATATACTGATTATTTGTTAGATGATATTAAGACAATGACTCATCACAGTCATATTACTCTCACTGTGAGAAATACATGATTGATGATGAACATTGTAAAGACTCTGAAGAGTGAGTATTTTGAGAGTGCTGCAGCTCTGTGATCTTGATTTTTTTTTATTTTTATTTTTTGTTTTTTTCTTTTTCTTTTCTTTTTTTTTTAATTTTTCTTTCTCTTTCTGTCTTTTTCTTTCTCTTCTTTTTTTCTTTCTCTTTTTTTTTTTTTTTTATTGTGATTTTTTCTTGTTGTTTTATTTTTTATTTTTTTGTTATTTTTTGTATTTTATATTTTTTTTTTAATTAAAATAATATTGATTATAATCTGTGTTCAGAAAAGTAATAATATTTGATAATACTCTCTATTGAATTTTCAACAAATAAGTACTATGTTATGATATTATGTAAGTGAGAAATGATTTCATGGTCTCATTTAATGCTATTTTCAATAATAAGATCAGAATGAAAATGTGACTAAGAATTCAAACATATTCTTTATCTGAGACTAGATTTTTATTTGAAAAGTGAATCTGAGACCTTTAATATTTGAAATAACAGGATTTGAAATCAATGTGATGAACACAAATCATGATCAGAAGTAATGCTTTTAGGCAATATGACAACTGTAAAGTTTGATCCTGGTCTCAGACACGGTCACACGGTCAGTCTAGAGATAACTGATTCTTGAGATGAGAATGAGATGAAAGTGATTACTCAAGTAACTTTTGCATTCACTTTGCAAAAGATAATGTTTTTTGACAACACTTTTTGATATTGCTTTTTGATAATGCTTTTTAATAATACTACTGTTAATTTTGAATAGATTGACTAATAATTTAAATATTATAGATTTAAAACATTGCTAATGTGATTTATATCTCTTCTAAATAACAATAATAATTTCATGATATTCAATAAATAAACAAATCAGTCACATCACTGAATATAATACAGAATGTTAGAACACAGTGAAGTTCAATATATGAGATAACTGTTCAGACTCTTTGATTGTGTCAGATAATTGATTATTGAGTACAATACTCTGATCAGAAAAAGATTCAGATATTGAAACTTTCTAATATAAAGTAAACTCAGTTGAAATATGTGATTGATTTACTGTTTCAGTTTTATAAGATAATAAAGACAGTCTCAATCATTTGTACATCAATGCTGCAGTCAGCCTGATGAGTGTATAACAGTTTATTTACTTATCTTGAGAAGCAGTTGAATCACTCAAAAAGAAATTCAGTCTGAAATGATACTATAGTGCAGGCTATTGTTACTGTAAGAAATAAACTGGTATATTACTACAGCAAAACAGAACAATCTTTTACAGAGTATTATACTGTAGCAGCTCTACTAGATCTCTTCTGTTGAGTTAATATCTACACTTCTCAAGATTGAATAGAGAAGAAATGAGACTTATATATTAAATTAGTCTGAGACTACTACAATGTCAACTATCAGAGATTTGAATGAGCACATGTTTAAGATATGAAGACAGTGAAATACAATTCTCTAGTAAGTAACAATCTTTGATAACACTTCATATTATATAGAACTATAATACTAACTTTGAAATAGAACTTGCATACATTGATTACAACTGAAAATCAGGCAAAACTACATGCTTGTAAAACTGAATTTGACTGCTATCTTCAAGATAATCTGACAAATTTACACATCAAATCAATTCTAGAGTTATGAAAAATTGTTGAGAGTACATATTCAACTATTGCACTGATGACATGTGATATTCTAACAATTTCATTGACAGAGATGAGAATGAAGCAAAAGTTCAACTCAAGTTGAGATATTTATCACTATCACTGAGAACAATTACAAGAAGAAACAATCAAGAAACTCATGATTATAAAACATGAAATTATCAGATAGTTTAATATCTCTGATCACAGTATATCATAGAAGTGTAGTTTTTATGAGAAAGTGAAGAATAAACTTGTACAAGAATATATTTAGTTGTTTCATGAGTGTTATCAATAATCATTACCAAATTCTGATTATATAAGCAATCACTGAATGAACTGAATGAGACTGATTTTAATCTTCAGTCTCAGTCTCATTCTGATTTTAAAAGAATGATCATCTTTCACAGTTTATTCTGGAAAATTACTCTCATTTCACTGTTCTTGAATTAAATCTGGTCATTTTTCACACCATTTCTCTCAGAAATGATCCATTTTCAGATTTTTTTGAGGCTTGGTCCTGGTGGGACTCAGGTCAAGAAATGTATGAGACCAGATCAAATGAGATCAAATGTGAAATTCATGGTCCCGCCGGCCAGTCTACCTGCCACTGTGAGAGTTTCTTGATTGAAGTAAACTATCACAAGCTATCATGATCAGTTCTAACAGTAATCACTGTCATGAGGCTCTCAAAGTAGTGATGTCAGTGATAGAAGAATTTCACTATTCTAAGAAGCTTCTGATCATGAATGTTATAGTTGATCTCTGTGAGTTGCATCTTTCATAAGAAAAAGGCCACTGAAACTCAGTTCTCATTTGACTGTAGTTGTGAGACTATTTCTGAAATTGTAAAGAAGAAGACATCTGTCTTTAATCTGATTAAGAGCAAGAGATCAAAGTGAAATAGTATTACTGTGTTCATGAATATCTGTTTCAATCTTACAAAGATCTTATAAGCTTCTGAAGTAAGAAAGTTCTTACAGTTCTCTCTTCTCAACAATCTTTTCATTCTTTATTTACAGAATAACTTCTTCTTATTTTCACTCTTCAGCATGTCTGTAAGAGTCAAGAAGATTCTCATAAACACAAAGATAAACTGTCTATGAAAATTCACAAAGCTCAGAAAGATCTGAATCTCATAAATACTAGTTAACTCTGATCATGATAGAATAGTCTTAATTTATAAAGGTTTCATCTGAATACTATCTGCAGTGATTACATATTCTAGGAAATTAATCTGATGAGTACTGAAGTTGTATTTTATAAGCTTAATATACAGTTCTGTCTTATCTAAGATCTTCAACATACTTCATACATACTCAGTGTGTTCTTTCTTCTTCATAAAGTACATCATCACATTATTCAGATATATTATCACAAAGACATTCAGATATGTATGAAGTGTTTTATTAATAAAAGACTGAAATGCTGCAGAGATATTAGTCAGATCAAAAGACATCACTAGATATTCAAATAATTTCAGTGCAGTTCTAAAGACAGTCTTTCATTCATTCTCAGACTGTATTTACAGCTATATATATATATTGATTATATTCAGTTGTGTGAATATGACAGCTTTCACAAGATGATTAATTACATTCTCAATCAGAGGCAGAAAGTAGCAGCTCTTTATTATCTTAAAGTTCAGATCACAGTAGTCTACACATAATCTGAGATCTTCATTCTTCTTCTTCATGAATATCATAGAGACTCTCATAGAGACCTGTGAAAATCAGATGAAGTCATTCTTCAGATTCTTCTTCACATAGATTTACAAGATCTCTGTCTCATCATGAGAGAGCTTATAGATTGATTCTTAGAAGAGTTTCTGCTCTTCTATCAAATCTATTACTAGATTCTTCTCACAGTGAGAAGAAAGCTCAGCTGTCTTTACTGAGCTGAATATCTCTGTGAGATCTCAGTATTTCTTTGATATCTGAAGCTCAGTTTTCATGACTGTGAGATTCTCAGACACTTACAAAGTTATTACATAGATGAGCTTATCTTCTCTAATCAACTCTACAGTATCAACTGATTCTATCTCTGTAAGTGAGTCTATCAACTGTGGTTCGGAAGAACGTACGACCGTCGGATAATAACGCGGCCGCTTCCGAACTACTAGCGTACGCGTGTAAAGGGGCCATAGCGTACGCTAATTAATTTAGCGTACGAGATTACAATATAAGAAGCCGGCGTACACCTGTAATTGTACACTGGCTTAAGCAACCTTTGAATCACATCTAGTAGCATGTCTAAAAACCGGTGAGAAGCGCAGGCTTCTCCAGGATGTGATAATTCCATCTACAAAGTGATTTGTAGTTATCATGTCAGTGTGGTCCTAGAAAACACCTCAAAAGATAGCATACAAAGGGCGGTGAGTGAAAGAGCATCCAATTGATACTGCTTTACTTGTTGAAGGAAAACTCCACACCCAGGTGCATGCCATGTATGAGACGCGAATGAATGAGATGTGAGAAAGGAGATGAGAGCAGTGAACCAGATTCAAAGAAGTTCACTCCCTACTCAAAAGAAGGATAAAAGAAGGAGGTGACCACCATCAGAGTTGTACAATGATAACAGAAATCATATAACAATATAGCGATAGAACAATACAGTGATATAGCGATATAACAATAGACATTGTACAATCAACCAGAAGCCACTGAAATGAATACCTTCTCTAGCTGATATGAACAATACCCTTCTCTGCTACCTGAACTGAAAGGTATACAGAATCTCTCAGAGAGTTTACTCAAAGCAGTAAGAAAAGCAGCTGAGACCACTGAACTGAAATCAAAGCTCTGTATATGTATGAGAATTCTAAACAAGATCAAGGCCTTGTGTACGCAGTGGCAGGCTGAGGCAGAGATTAAACAACAATTGACATTTGCTGCAGATCAAGCATTCACTATGAAGAGCTTCACCGACACAATCACCACTATTAATAAGAATAGAGAAAACCAGATCTTAGACCTGCAGCAGAAGATTGAACATTTACACAGATAGGTGACTATGTCAAATCTGAAGGTTTCATCACAATCATTCACAATCTCTTCAGAAGTGTACACATCATCAGAGATCACTGCACAGAATGAGAATCTGAGCATGAAATATATCAAGCCAGAAGATCTGTCAGAGCTATCAAGTTTCAATGATGACTGAAAAAATGATGCTGCAATCAGCTGACTAAGTCAGATGCAATCATATTATCAAATCAAACATGAACTCACAGACAGGCAGTTAACAGAATTTCAACAAGTCTTAAGATCTGCTGCATTTCTACACAGAAAAGCAAAGTCATTATAAATGACTGATGAAAAGATGAATCTCACAGACCTGAAGCAATATTCATTTCCATGAACATGAAATGAGTTTTCTAAGTGAATCTTACACAACTTCAAGAAAGTGAATATACAAGACAAGTGTTATGAATGCTTCACTGAGTGTAGATAAGTAAGTGATCTTATATCATACTTCACACACTTCAGCTTACACTATCTTGTGTTGAATGAAGAGCTTTCAATATCTTTCTGTTTACAGATCTTCATTCATAATCTTACATCTGAGTTGAGAGTGGAATGGAAATGCTTAACCTCACAGTCAGACACAGTGAAGAAAGCATACAACATTCTCATCATACAGGAACAAGTGAGTCAATTGTGATAGAAAATACTGCAATTGAGTATATCTCAGTGAAGAACAGATAATCAGACTTCTACAACACAAGCTATACATCTGAATGCAATGAATCTAGATCTGAATGCCATCACTAAAGCACTGAATCCTCTGAAAAAGGGATTTCCTGAGTGGAAATCTTGGTATTGTGAGCATCAAGCTTGTTTCAACTGCAGATGTCAAAATCATAGTGCAAAAGATTGCACCCAGCATGCACAGTCAAAAAACTAGCAGAATCAGTGAGCTCAGAGACACTCACTGATATTCTATGAAAAGCCTTCAAAGTGAAAGAGATGCCTGTGTTAGATGACTCTCTGAATCCTGCAAATGCAAAGAAGAAGCAGGCTCCTGACTGGGGTGCGGGCGAGGATGAAGTGAATGCTCATCTCAATACCTTGAGGCCTGAAATGTTAATGTATAAGAGGCACTTGAATAAGAATTGAGAGGTGGCTGCAAAAGTGTTAGTGAACACAGAAGCTTCAACACAATATATTGATGATCATATAATTCAAAGATTGAAAGAAGTTCACTGAGTGAAGAATCCCCGATGCATAAGATTATCTGATAACTGATATTTGATATCACCTGCAAAAGTAAGAGTTCCCTTGCACTTCAGAGGATGATCTTGCTATATTTAGATGTGAGAGCTGCAGAATGTGGAATACAACCTTATTCTCAGACTCAATTGGTTTCAAAGGTTCAATTCACAGATTCAATGACATACATGTCATATGCAGTTGACTGATAGAAAGAAAATGATTCATACAATTCTATCAACTGATATGAGAAGAACATTCCACACCTCTGGTATAGAAGGGTTAAATCTGCTTATGCATTAACAAGCAAAGAGAACAATTCACAAGACCTCATCTGAAAGCATTCTGTATGTTATACAGGACTCAGAAGTGGAGAAAACCAAGATAAAAGATATGCAGAAGGATAAGCATATGAAGAAGCTTCTGAAGAAGCATGAGAAGATCTTCTGAACAGATCTTTCACTGAAATTGTCACCAGAACAAGGATTTGTACATGAGATTGACATGGGGGATGCAAAACCAGTCAATCAGAATGCATACTCCCTGTCACAAACACATCTCAAAGAACAGAAGCATCAGATCACAGACCTTCTAGAATGTGATCTCATACAACCCTCATCAAGCGTGTGGGGCTTTCCAGTCCTATTTGTGAAAAAGATGAGTGAAGAGTGGCAGATGTGTATTAATTATCAAGCACTCAACAAGCTAATAATCAAGAATAAATATTCACTGCCACAGATTCAACAACAGTTGAATACAGTCAGAAACACCTGATATCTATCAAAGATCAATCTTCTCTCAGAATACTGACAGATCTGTGTAGACAAACTGTCAGTCCCGCGAACCACATTTAATACACAATGAGAGAAGTTCGAATTTCTAGCAATGCTATTCAGTCTGACAAATGCGCCCGCCATCTTTCAAATGATGATGAATATGATCCTTCATAAACAGAATGAAACCTCATGCCTCATATATCTCAATGACATCCTAGTCTTTTCAAACTCATATGATGAACATCTGAAGCATCTCAATGAAGTGCTTATAACTCTGACAGAGCATAAGCTCTACATCAAATCAATCAAGTGTGTGTTTGAAACAGAAGAGTTGGAGTTTGTGGAACATGTAGTAAGTGATGGCTGTATACACCTCATTCTGAAGAAATTGAATGTCATAGTGAATTGGCCGCGGCCAAGAAATGTACACCATGTATGACAGTTTCTTGAGTTGATCTCATACTATCACAGATTCATCAAGGATTTTGCATGAATATCTGCATCACTCTTAGATCTCTTAAGAGAAACAGATGCAAATCTGTGAAAGAAGAAGTTTTGTTCAATCATCTGAAATGCTGTGTGTGAAGAGGCTTTTCTCACACTGAGAGAATGTGTAATAACATTCTCAGTACTTATTCAATCAGATTGTGATAAACCTTTCTACATTGAGACAGATACATTCAAATGAGCTATTGAAGATACTCTTCTACAGATGAGTAAGAACAGCAAGCTGCATCTGGTGACATATGATAGTAGGAAACTATCAGACACTGAGCTCAATTACCCAGTGCATGAAAAGAAATTGCTAGCAATCAAGCATGTGCTGATGTTATGAGATAGATATATCAACAACAGGCATACAACAACAGTGATTACAGATCATGAAAGTCTCATCTATCTACAATTAACAATAAAACCTTTCAAACACTTAGCATATTGAATCTCAGAGTTCCAAGTGTACAATCTTCATATCAAATACTGAAAAGAATTGAATGCAGTGATGTCTGATGCAATCAGTTGCAGACCTGATTTCATGAATGAGAGTTCTGCAAACCAGGCATAAGAAATGTTCATGTTAAACATGCTGAGAAGATGCAAGAAATCAGAATGAGTGAATGCCATGATCTCTCACTTGAAGAATAGCAAGGTGTCAGATAACAAGCATCTCATGAAAGTAGTAGAAGAGATGCTTTCAAACTTCAAGCTAAGAAAATTGAAAAATGACATTATGCTTTACTGTGATCTAGGATACACAGAAGCTCTCTATCTAGAATCTTCATTTCAACACAACTTGATGACTCACATGCACAAAGAATTCAGTCACTTAGAAAGCTCTGAACTCATGAGCATACTCAAACCAAGAGTATACTGGCCAAGCATGGCTGAGAACATCCAGGTGTACACTCACAAGTGCCTGAATTACCAGGTCATGAAAGAATCTAAGAAAGGGTTAGAACACAAAGAAGCACAACATCAGATGAAATGTACAATACAACTGTTCAAATGATGAAGAGTGGACCTCATAGACATATTGCCGCGAACACCAAATGAAAATTGATGAATAATCACTGCTATTGATTACACTACTGACTGGCCAGTTGTGAAAGCAGTTCCAGAGGTGACAGAGGAGATGATGATGAAGTTCCTACATAATGAGATCTATGTCAACTATGGAATGCCGCGCGAGATTCTAACTGATAACAGTGCAAACCTTGTAGGAGGAGTGGTGAGGCATTTCATGAGCCAGTTACAGACAAGACATTGTAGAACAATGCCATATCATCCGCGGACGAACGGGAAGATGGAACACTTGAATAGAATCTTGGGCAACATGCTGATGAAATATCTAGTGAGTAAGCCTACAAGACTATGAGATGAATATCTCAGGCAGGCGCTATTGATCATGCAGATTTGACAGCATGCAGTCTCCAAGCATTCACCATTCTACCTGTTGTATGGATTGCATCCGCACATCCCAGAGAATGCTTTGGAAAAGGTGAGGGAGAAAGCAGTTGCAAACACAGCAGGAACAACAGTTGTGGACACAGCAGAAATAGCAGTTGCAGATGCAACAGTCACAGACACAGAACTAAGATTGAAAGAGATCAGCCACGCACATGCAAAAGCTAATGAGTTACTCCTGAACTGAGCAATTCAATCAAAAAGAATACAAGACTCACTTGTTAAGAAATCAAGTCTCAAGATGAAAATGTGAGTTCTCATACACAATGAGAGTCCTGAGAAGTTCCAATCTAGATGGTTTGAGCCATATAAGATACTCAAATCATATTCTCTGAGAATGTACACATTGAAAGAATCAGAGAGACAGATCTTATACAACTTAATCAATGATTCACAACTTATGAAAGCAAAGATGCAAGACCTGAGTGAATTATGATTATTCACAGCACTATCATCAGCATTGAAAAAGAAGAGACTTACAATTGAAAAGCCTTATGAAGTAAGAGAAATCATAGACACTTACAAATCAGATGATCTCACTTATTCTGACCTTTTCATGATTATAAGAAAAGAATGAGAAGAAATGAAGAAATCAGATGAATATCACACTTCAATAAGTGATGAGACTGTAGCTGATCATATGATAACATGCTGCAGACAGCAGGCACAACACAGCAAAGAGCAGTCTCAGAGTGACAGACTTATATATGAATCAGATTGCAGAAGAAAAAGGAATTCAGAGTTGAATTCAACTGTTTACATCAGTTCAATTGCAGAGACCACAGAAGATGAACTATCTGAAACATTCACAGACACATGAAATCAAGTCATCTCAACCCCTGAAGACACTCAGAGATCAGATGAGGTTAGTTTCAATGAATCATTCACTGTAGTGATCTGAGTGAGCAAAGAGAGACAGTATAATACACAAGACAGAATCACAAAAGATGAAAGCTGCTGAACCTAGTCACTGAACACTGTATTATATAGAGGTTGTATAAGAGTAGTGGCTAGCAGACAAAGAAAAAGTGTAAGAAAAGAAAAGAAATAATAAATTGATCACCAACTGTAAGAGTCAGTCATAAAAGACAAATGTTATCATACACACCTCATTCATTTTCATACATCACATGTTAATCTATTTCCAACACCACATCATCTGAAAAACATCAAAAACAAAGGAAATCTCAAAACTCAAGGTTCACAAGGAATTTGAGAGCTGCAAGCTGCTCTTGCAATAACATCATACATGTCTCTGATTCCTCTATCACTCTGTGTACAACATTAATATCATTTATTGCAAGATTGACTGGAATGCCAATATAGAAATGTGTATGCATACATGTAGAGAAATTGAAGAAGAGCACAGAACTCACAGGATCAGAAGCCAGGACAGGGGGAATGAAGGTGAAAGAAACAGAAGAAGGAGGCACAGAACCAGATGAATGACAGCAGAAGTCACTCAGGGCCAAATGCTTACAATTCGGTGTGCACACAACCTTTCTCACAGGGAAGGAAAAGAGAGAGAAAGTGATGAGAGAAGCTTGAAGACAGAAGAGAATAGTCTTGACAGTGTTGTCATCTTCAATTAAAATGGCCTCTGGCGCTGAAGCAACTAAGAACTATTATTAGCATATGAAACTGCAAAAACAGGAATAACAATTATCAAATGAACACCTGCTGATCTTAGAATTGTATGTGTAATTACAACATGCATAAGGCTTCTCAGGAAGAGAGAGAGGGACACAGAGAAATGCAGGAAGCAGAACACAGTGTGCGAACAGCCCATTCCCATGACAACATCTCAGACAAGGCATACAAGCCTCACACCTGCGGGTGTAAAAGAGTACAACATCTGTGTTCCTATTTCTGAAAACACAGATATCTTTCACCTGCACCACAAAGTCAGATGACAGATATCAGAGAATAGACTGATATGAATTGATCATTCTGAAGAAATTCACCAGAGCAGATGTCCCTGCAATGTTGAACTTTACAGTTGTAAAAAGTTTCTTGATGTCTGTGAATGCCACAACTTCATACACAGTAAAACTCATAACAATTTTCTCTAAGAACAGAAAAATCAGCATCAGAAAGAAAAGATGAAAAAGAAAAAGACTTACAATCTTGACACTGTTAAAGAGAGAGATGATTCTCTGAGATGAACAG